TCTTCGGCCGCCGCGACAGCTCCGGGCTCTTCCTCCACGTCGGTAGGGCTCGGGGCCCCCGCGCGGCCTGTCCTGGTGGCGGCGGCTGTCTCCGGATCTTCCGGCGGCGGCGGCGGAGGCCTGTCGCGGCTGGCGGGGGTGGCCCGAGTCGGTGCAGGGAGCGGCTTAGCTAACGGCGTAACCAACGGCGGCACCAGTGGCAGCAGGAAGAGGCCCCTGCTCACCCCACTTTGCAACGGTCTCCTGAACTCCTACGAGGACAAAAGCAACGACTTTGTATGGTGAGTTGAGAGGAATGGCTGGCAGGGGGAGCGGGACGACACCCCCACTTTACCTGTCTGAGAGCCACAATGGTGTCGTGTGATCATTGTGTGTGTGAGAGAGTGAAATACTTGACAAGGAGTTATATGTTTCCAGGTGTTCAAAGTGCACCTCGATTTTCTGCCTCTCTGGTTCATAGTGTGGCAGGGCTGTTGGAAGGATTATAGGAAGAAAAGTTAATGACATACATATGTATGTGAATAGTTGTTATAAATGCTAAGAATCGTTGAACCAGATTTTTCAAGTAATTTAGTGTATTTCCTATCTTGTAAGTTGGGCTGAAGAGGGAGAAAGGCTTTCCTAAGTCCATCCTGTGAGTTCATGATTGAGGTGACATTTGAAAAAGGGACTTTGCAGCCTATATGCCTGTAGCTCAATTCTATGTACCCTATATTTAAATGTATTGCATTTAGTGATATTTATTGTGGAATGTGGAAAGTGTGCAAGCATTTGAGACCTCAGGCTTGTCCAAGCTAATGACAAACAAATTATTGATTGATTGATTGATTTAATTTGTATCCTGCCCATCTGGTCTATGCAACCACTCTGAGCGGCCTCCAATATAATACAAACAGTTAATAAAAACACATAGTTACATAAATCTACAAATGAAAATGTGGAAATCAAGAAAATAGAGTAAAATAAATTAAAGAGAAATGAGAAGAGAGAATCACGTATTGACTGGAGGGAAGGCCTGAATAAACATCCATGATTTTACTTGGCTTTTAAAGATGCCCAGTGTAGGGGCCACACGAATCTCCGGAGGAAGTTTGTTCCAGAGGCGAGGAGCCACTGCCGAGAAGGCCCGATTTTGTGTCTTTTCCTTCCAGGCCTCTCTCGGCATCAGGCCCCTCAGCCTCCCCTCCTGACTTGCACGGGTGATCCGGGTAGATCTTGGTGGGAGTAGGCGTTCCTCCAAATATCAAGGTCCTAAATCGTTTAGGGCTTTATAAGTAAGCATTAAAACTTTGAAGTCAATGTGGAAATGGATGGGCAGCCAATGCAATGCGGCCAGAGTAGGAGAAATATGTTGGTATTTTCTCACTCCACTAAGGAGTCTGGCCGCCGCATTCTGCACCACCTGAAGTTTCCGCATTAGCCTCAAAGGCAGCCCCACGTAGAGCACATTACAGTGGTCTAATCTTGAGATTACGAGCGCATGCACCAAGGTGGTGAGTGCCCCCCTATCAAGGTAGGGCTGCAGCTGAGCAATCTGCCAGAGATGGAAAAAGGCGATACGGACTACCGACGTCACCTGCGTTTCCATGGTGAGCGCCGGGTGCAGATGGATCCCTAAGCTGCGAACCCCACTCTTGGCGGCCAAGGTCACCCACCCCAAACAAGAGTCACCCAAGCCGCCGACCACAGGGGCACCTATCCTTAGAACCTCCGTCTTGTCCATGTTCAATCTCAGCCCATTTTCCTGCATCCGTTACAGTACGGTCCCCAGGCAGCGCTGAAGGGACAGGACGGCATCACCTGCAGTTGGTGAAAAGGAGTTGTAGAGCTGGGTGTCATCAGCATATTGATGACA